CCATAGCAACGGCGCGTCACTCTTAGTTCACTCTTAGTGATTTATCCTTAGTATGAGTAGGTCTCAGTGGCTTTGTGAATAACTTTTAAGAAAAAACTCCTACGTAAAATGTTTTAGCGCAAGATAGGAGCACTCCTAGCGGTAAGATAAAATGCTTTGTGAATACGGCCCCAGAGCACATTACTCCAGTTCTAAAGTCTTTACACTGGCTCCCAGTCAGCTATGGAATAGATTTTAAAGTTCTGCTCTACAAATCACTGAATGGTTTAGGTACAGAATACATGAATGACATCTTAGTAGAATACAAACCCAGTAGGGCTCTGAGATCTACTGACTCAGGTCAGATAGTGGAGCCCAGAGTTCAAACTAAACATGGTGAAGCAGCTTTTAGCTGTTATGCTGCACAAAACTGGAACAAACTACCAGCTGAACTGAAATCAGCCCCAACTGTGAACATTTTTAAATCCAGGTTAAAAACACTTCTCTTCTCCTGTGCTTATGATTGAGCTTGTTCAAAGCACTTTAAATTGTAAATTTTAATTGCACTATGTCCTTTTAAATCATGATTTTATGCTGCTCTTATAGTATTTTATTTCTTTCTATTCTTCTGTAGTTGTTTTTTTTTAATGTATTTATTTATTTTTATTTCAATTCTTATTGTTTTATGTAAAGCGCATTGAGTTGCCATTGTATATATACTATACTATATAAATAAAGCTGCCTTGCCTTGCCTTACAACACAACACTGTCTTTTTTCTATTTATGTTTTAGAATTCTAAAACATATTTACTTTAAGACTGAGGACATGTCTCCTATATTTGAAAACGTACATTTCAGCAATAATAATGAATAATAAGATTATTATTGTTAATAATAATAATAATAACAATAACAATAATAATAATAATAATAATAATACAATTAATATTCATACAAAGTTCATTCATGATTTTAAGTAAATTATAATTGTGCATCTATCCAATAATCCACTAAAACAAAAATGTTGCTGTTTTGACTTGATTCTTGTGGATGTGCCTGGTTGTTGTGACCATGGGAACTTGGGTTTCATTGAAAAAAGAAAAAATGTCACACCATGACGAGTCACACTTTGTCACCTTCACTGGTGCTGATTGCCACACTTCCTTGGCACATGCTCAGTGTGTCTCACTCTCTCAGCAGTCACAACAAGGCCGTGTTGGTATCCCGGCAATCCACAAGGGTTCAAAACAAACTGTCTATACTGTCTAAATATACTAATATTACTATAAAGGGAAAAACATATCTATTTTGTATTCATTGTGTCATATTTTGTCTGAAATGCTACATTGACATGAAATGCAATATTTGATTGTGTGCAAAAGATGTTTGTATCACTTTAAATATAAACCAGTAATAAAGTAAAATAAAACATTATTTTAAATATTGCTCATTGCTTTCACATGTGTATTAGTGACTTCATGTTGTTTGTGATGTTCAGAGGGCAGGGGCACATGCCTAGGACTAAATACAGCTGACCTAGAGGTGTGTAATGTTCACACCCCTACTAACACTACTGGTACCACCCTACGTCTCACCTAGCCATGGGAAAGAACAACCGGGACCCACAGAGGTGAAACTCCACTAAAGTTCAGCAGAGTTCAGACGGATAATGGGTCACAAGAGGTCAATATTTGGTGATGACAATTAAGGGATAAAATATATATTATTTATATGACAAACAAAGACAGAAGCATAGATCATACCTTGCAAGTAATAGTTCTCCATTCTATAATATTCTAGAATTAATGGGTGCGGTGTGAGGTCTGGGTGAATGAGAGGTATTCATTAGTGAGACGTGAGAGCTTTCATACTTAGTGAAAGGCCTCTTTATTGTTTTATTCTTTGTTTCAGTTGATTTACACAATGTATTGTACACTTGTGTGGGAAAGTGTACTGTGTACACACACACCCGCCATAACCATAGAATTAAGAAAGAGCTCAGGCCAGAGACAAGAGGGTAAACAGTCACTCGAGAAAAGCCCTGAGGTGAACAAATGACACATTATTTTAGACACATTTCAGTTACAGGATGACATTACATGCTGGTTATTAGTAAAGTAGTTCCAGTGATGTCCAGAGGTGGAGTTTAAGGGGTATGAGAATCTGTCAAGATCATAAGTCACAACATCTCTTCACCCAGAGGTGTGTAATGTTCACACCCCTAAACACTAACTGGTAGCACCGTACGTCTCACCTAGCAATGGGAAGAAGCACCAGGGACACACAGAGTTGAAACTGCACCAAAGTTCAGCAGAGTTCTGACTGATAATGTATAGGGTCACAAGAGGTCAATATTTGGTGATGGGAATACATAAAGCGTAGCATATATATTTCTTAAATCATACAAGCATTCAATCTTACAGAGCCTACCTTTCATGTGTACAGTATTATATGCTATTGTAATATAATGTAATCTATTCCATTGTGAGTTAGTGTAGACGTAATCTGATATAATTTAATTGCTGACATGATCTAATTGCTGAGTGTAACACTTCAGAGGGTCAAAGACACCAATATTTAATGATGTGGTAAATATTTATTTATGAAGGAAAATACATGCTTCCTTGCAAGTGTCAACCCTTTATTAGATTCTCTTCTATTTATTCTGGGATAATGTTATGTGTTATAATTAGACACAATCTAATCTAATCAGTAAAATAGTCAGTGCATGAGTTGACAGACTCAATGTTGTTGTTATAATGTGTGTGTGATAATTAATAATTGGTGACAGCTTTCAGAGGCCAAAGTGAGTGAAAAAACACTTCATTAACCTTAATTAAACAGTCAATCTACCTAAAATAATATTCCCATTCACAGCAAGGTTGTGCTGAATTACATGAAGTGCTGATTAGTAGCGAAGTATGCATGAGTTGTAGTGTTGTTCTCTTCTGTCAATAGATGGCAGACCCAGAGGTGTGTAGACTTCACACCCCTGGTGGTAGCACCCGCATGTCTCACCTACCCATGGGAAAGAACAACCAGAGTTTAACCTGCACTTAAGTTCAGCAGAGTTCACAGTTTAGAAGGTCACAGAAGAAGAAGAATATAATAATTAGTTAAGTATGAGATGTACATTAATTTACATACATGACTTTAGGATCATTGTTTTGTGGGGAGGGGCAACGTGATGAAATGGGTCTGTCACTTTGGGTAGAAAGAGCACCTCTGCTGGTCTGAATAGAACAGACCATACCAGACCAGAGGCAACAGGGCCAAAAGCCTAGCGGTGAGGGTGTTTTTGACTCCCAGCCAAAAAGGTTGTGGGTTCGAACCCCAATGTCTGCAGACTACCTGTATGCATCCTTGAGCAAGAGGCCTAACTCTGCCTGCTCCTTAATGACATGTCTAAAAACAAAAATGTTACGTCACTTTCGGATAAAACCGTGCTGAATGACTAAGACATTCAGAAAATCTGTCTGAGGTCAACCAAATGCACATTCCAAATGCAAAGACACATCACAGTTAAATAAAATATTTAATAAGATTAACTGCTGGTTATGAAAGTATGAATGCGTTTGAGTGCTGTCCAAAGGTGGGGTTAAAGGGGTAGATGAGAATCAGTCAAGTGTAGAAGTCACAACATCTCTTCACCCAGAGGTGTGCAATGTTCACACCCCTACTAACACTAACTGGTAGCACCGTACGTCTCACCTAGCCATGGGAAGAAGCACCAGGGACACACAGAGTTGAAACTGCACCAAAGTTCAGCAGAGTTCAGATATAGTGTGTGTAGGGTCACAAGAGGTCACTATTTGGTGATGGCAATACATAAAGGATGAGATATTCTCTATTAAAATATATTCTGCCTTGCAAGTGTACAGTATTCTATTATCTTCTAATGTAATATATTTGGTATAAGTCCCGTTATTGGAAAATAATGTACAACGGGGGTGGTGATGCGGCCAAGGCAAAGCCGAGGTTTCTTACCCCCGCCGGGGTTCATTATTTCCAATAAAGGGACAGGCCAGAGTGGTTTATTCTGCTTATACCAAAGTTACCAACAATGATTAGATATTACTTTCATCTATAACGTTATTGTTTTTTTATCGACTTAATCAGCTATAATTCAAATACTCTTCTGCACATTTTCAGCATATTGTTGTGTTGTCAAGGAAACATCTGATTGATAGTTGTATTTGACCATTTTTGTTAATGTTGGATTTGTAGCGCATTGATGTGGAGCTGTTAAAAAGGGACCACCCATGCTAAAAATGTATGCACTCACGGTATTGTAAAACGCTTTACATAAGTGTGCACCGCATAGCAAATAAATAGAGGTGTCCTGTAATTGAAAATAATGCACACTCTTGGAACACCAGAATCAAGTATTCAACATTTGAATCACTTCTAATGAACACCTTATACAGTTGAGTAGTGTGTCTGAATGCAAGAGAGTGAGGGTGAATATTAACTGGTGAGATTTTTCAGTGGCCGAACTCACTACATATCGACTACTCATTGACAGCAAAAGTGTACTCAATAATATGAAATGTTGGTTACTCATGTTGATGTTGGTATGTGTGGATGAGGAGTAGTGCTGTTCAGAGGTCAGGGGTGAATGAGTATCTCTTTCTGTCAGTCTGACCCCAGAGGTGTGCAAACTTCACACCCCTAACAACACAAACTGGTCTCACCTAGCCATGGGAAAGAACCACCAGAGAAAGGTTCACAGAAAGCGTTTGGGAGGCCACAGACGTCAATATTATATGATGAAAATATATGATATGTGTAAGATTGATATATCAGATGTACATATACAGTATACAGTATGGTAGAGTAGGGGGGTAGTTGGTAGTATCCCCATATCCTCCATGTAAAATGTGTGAGATCCTCTTCACCCATCCTCACCACCCATCACGCTAGTCAACACATTGCATGGCTGTGTGTTCGGTAGTTTCCTCTACAAATAACTGTAACTTTGCTAGTCTGAACAGAACAGACCCCACCAGGGACAAGAGGGTGTGAAAGCCTAGTGGTCAGGGTTTTTGAATCCCAGCCAAAAGGTTGTGGGTTCAAACCCCAATGTCCGCAGTCTACCTGTATGTAGTCTCACAAATCTAACTTAAGATAGATTCACATAAAGTCTGGCTTTTCACTTTCTTTCTCTTCATATTTGTCTCGACCAATCATGTTTCTGGAGGTGGGGATCTGTATGCGTGAAATTGGCTAACAGGGAACACAAACTCCAGCCAGCACTAGAACTTTTCCCGGTGGGAAGACAAGCTGAAACATCCTGTCTAGGCACCGACATTCGTAGAAAATGTGTCTGTAAAGGTTTCAAATCAACACTGCGTAGGCTGGCCACCATAGAAATACACTTAAAAAACCCTTCTGAAACCATCATCCAGTGTGAATGAGTGTCTCTTTGGTAGAATATCTCTGTAACAAAACTGGAAACAAGACGTAACGCCGCCCCTTGCAGTCCTGGTTTCCGGCCCAGGGTCTGTGCCGTCTTCCCCCAGAAGTTCTGCTATAACAGCAGGTCTGCTGGATCCCAGAGAAACTGTATGCATCCTTGAGCAAGATGCCTAACTCCTACCTGCTCCCCTTTGGATTGCTTTGGATAAAAGCATCTGCTGACTAAATAATCCTTTCTGAAAATCCCCACACATCACATCACATGGTTTTGTCTTCGTGACAGCAGCACAAAAATAATACCACTTTAAACGCTAGGGTGGGAAACATTTAATATGTTGTCTATAGCCCCTTTAAAGAAAATATTTAATATAATTAAATGCTGTTTATGAAAGTATGAATGAGTTGAGTGCTGTCGGTTCAAGGGGTATGAGAGAATGAGAGAATCTGTCAAGTTTAGAAATCATGCCTTCACCCAGAGGTGTGTAATGTTCACACCCCTACTAACACTAACTGGTAGCACCGTGCGTCTCACCTAGACATGGGAAGAAGCACCAGGGACAAACAGAGTTGAAACTGCACTAAAGTTCAGCAGTTCAGACATAGAGTGTGTAGGGTCACAAGAGGTCAATATTTGGTGATGACAATAAAGGATGAGATATATGATTTCTCTATAAAAAAAAATCTGCCTTGCAAGTACACAGTATTCTATTCTTTTCTTCTAATTTAATATATTGTATTTGGTATAATTATTCATAATCTAATGTGATCGAATCTGATGACTAATCAATGCCTTTCATACTTGTTGTCACAGTTGAGGAGTATAGGTGAATGAGAGTGGGGGGGGTGAATAGTAATTGGTAGAGTTTTCAGTGGACAAACTCAGCTGAAAAGCACTACATATTAATACTCATTTACAGCAAAAGTGTACTCAATAATATGAAATGTTGCTTATTATTGTTGATGTTGGTATGTGTCATAGATGTATGAGGAGTAGTGCTGTTCAGAGGTCAGGGGTGCATGAGTATCTCTTTGTGTCAGTCTGACCCCAGAGGTGTGGAAACTTCACACCCCTAACAACACGAACTGGTCTCACCTAGCCATGGGAAAGAACCACCAGAGAAAGGTTCACAGAAAGTGTTTGGGAGGCCACAGAGGTCAATATTGTCCTTTATTTCTCCCTCAGGTACATTTGCTTCTTAAGGCAAGAAGTTAATCATGTCTTGTTTTTTTCTGTTCTAATTTTCCTCTAATATTTCTAGTTGGCGAACACTGAAACTACACCATTTTGGAGTATTACATTACTCTATTACCTATTACATTAAGCATTATAGCACATTATGCTGACAGTTCCATTGCAATATTTTACATTGAAAATATTATATATTATTAAGTATAAGGTTGATATAAAATGTACACATACATATATGGTAGAGTAGTGGGCTGTTGATATAGCCCCTTATCCTCCATGTAGAATGTGTAACACCATCTTGATTGACACACACATTCAATCCAGTCCTGTCACACTAGTAAACACATTGCATGACTTTTGTTTCTTCAGTAGTTTGTGCTACAAATAACTTAAATAGAAACTCAGCTAATTAAGGAAACACTGGCCACGCAGTTGTTCCTGCTAAAACTCCAAACTCACTTAGATCTTTATAGATAGATAGATAGATAGATAGATAGATAGATAGATAGATAGATAGATAGATAGATAGATAGATAGATAGATAGATAGATAGATAGATAGATAGATAGACAGACAGACAGACAGACAGACAGACAGACAGACAGACATATAGTTATCTTGATTCTTCAATCATCTTCAGGTGCAGTGCTTAAAAGAACCAGTAGAGGTCACCGTGGCACCAAACGTGCAGGCTGCCCGTGTTGTTGTTCCAGGCCCGTCAAGGTGTCCAACCCCCCCCCCCCCCCCCCCCACGGGTTCCCACTGCAGGGGGCCACATTCTTCACTATAGGGGCCAGTTGACGTGGTGTCTATGACCACATGACATTTTTCATGTATTTAAAGAAAATGATGTTATTGGCCCTGGCCAATTTTGCAATTCGATCACCAATTCATAGTGTTTATGTAACCTTATATTATGAGTCCTGGCGCCCCCCCCCCCCCCCCCCCCCTCCCCTAACACTTACAGTGCCAGTTCTCACCAGGGTGTGCAATTTCCAATGTGGACGTGCTCATTCATTATTGAGTAATTTGTCGGGCAAGCCATTGCTGTTTTAACCCACATTTTAATGAAAGATTAATCGAAAACCTATTAAATGACCATGAATAGATTTGACGATACAACACAGGCTCCATTATTATATTGTATCCCACCCATGCAGGACAGCAAGTCTCTATCCGGGAACAGTAGGGTGTCCCGCTGGGCACCTCGCCCCATCCGCCCCTCCCCCCCCCCCCCCCCCCCCCCCACCCCCCCCCCCCGCAGGGAGGTGTCACCTCCTCTGAACGCGTGCTATCTGGCGCTTCCTCCCCTGTTGGTGAAGCTGCTCCTTATGGCGAGGCGTCAACCCCGACGCGTGCACTGTTGCCCACTGCAGGGTTGTAATGCCTAACCTGGGCTATCTGTATCTATAGGCCCTATATGATGTGATTTTACCTATGAAAGCAATGTCATCTTGTTGTACATATCAGCAGGATGCACATGACATAATATGGACATAAACAACCAGCCAAGTCGAGCAATATAACTTTGAAATGCATTTTATTGCAACGTTCAGCGAAATTACAAAAAAGCGGTATAAAAATGGTAGAAATAATTTAAATTGCCAGCGAGTAAAAAAGATCTATTTACAGATAGGCCTATATACAAAAATAAATTAAAACAAATATATTAGTGATACTGTTTTGTTCTTCCAGCGACCATTGAGTTTAATTCATGTCCTTGTCGAGGTCTCCATCCTCGTCGTCGCTGTCTTCATCACTGGACTCCTCTTCGTAGAGGCAGATGGTGGCTTGGACTGGGTAGTTATGCAGCAGCATCTCTGCGTCTTGGTACAGATAATCAAAACACTTTGATTTCGGCCAGTACAACCTGAAGGGGAAAAAAGCACGACCTGTTAATAAAAAAGAAACTCATAATATAAGAACAAACAGACTACACGCCAAGGAATCACCGGGCAAAAGACTTGAGCTTTCGGATTTTATAACGCAACGTACTTGACTGGATGTGTGATGGGCATCGACCTGCTCTTGGAGAAGCTCGCATCGGACAGGTCCCCGTGCTTGGGGTGCAACTATACCGCAGAGAAAAGGAAACAAGGTGTTAGACAACTTCCAAAAAAACCGTCAAGCCTGGAACGAAATCGAGAAATAAAAATCGTTCAGTAAATGCCACTGAAAATGATAGGCCTGTACCTTCTGTGGCTCATTCTGCACACATGGTGTATCCCACGGTCTCCACATAATAGGTCCCCTGTGCTCGTCCGTAGCGGTTCCTGCGGTAAAGGCAGACGTAATTCCTCTCTGGGCGGTACAGGCGTCCATAGTGTCTGCGTCAGGATGGTCCTGCGTGGGTTCAGCAGATGAAGGGATGAAGGTCCGAGGGGAAATGTGCAGAGCAGCGAGCAGCGCTGCTATTTAAGTGCGCCTGCGGGGCTCGTGCCAAATTGCGCTCTTCTTTGACACGTTCCCAAGTGTCCCGGGTGGCGAGGCGCCAGGTCACACTTCAGCAAACCTCGGCCATATGGTCACCTCACTATCTTACATACGGACTCCAATCTGCACATTATAATTGTATCGGATGTCAGAGGATTGCAAACTCCTCAAAATACTCGGTTGGCTCGCTCCGGTTTTTTTTACATTTCCATGCACACATATAAATGAACCGAGTAATCGGTATAGGGTCTAAAATCATAGCCTAGCCTGCAGGTCTATCATCAAACAATTAAGAAAACGATAAATAGCCTATATAATATATGAGCCCTCCCATTACATCATGAGTTTGATTTACTGCCACCACGGAGGCGGTATAACTGAATAGGCCGACATAAAAGCTCTTTAATCCAGACAGCCATTAGGGCCTTGAACCAGTAGGTTAAAATGTGCAGACTGGAAAATATTTACTTTTGCCTAATGTTAATGGTTTTTATTAATGCCACTGTTTATCCCACTGGTTGTAATGATCTTCCGTCGTTTTTAATGCATGTTGTTGTTGTGAAGCCGAAGACACGTTTCCACTGTGCGGACAATAGGCCTACTATCTATCTATCTATCTATCTATCTATCTATCTATCTATCTATCTATCTATCTATCTATCTGTCTGTCTGTCTGTCTGTCTGTCTGTCTGTCTGTCTGTCTAACTCGTGTTGAGGCTGCATCAATCAATGGGCTCCCATAGCTCAAACCATGCATACAATCTTCTCCTACGATATGTTCACTGCTGACGTGCACAGAGGAGACAGTAGCAAATGCGCCACAATTAGATCAGGCAGCTATTGGCGATAATTGGATCTTTTCAAATCCATCCTCCTATTCTGCATAATTGTCTTTACATTTGCAACATGGTGGGAAACAGCACGTGCCAGTGGTGCTAGTGTTGTTGCAGGTGTGTGTGTGTGTGTGTGTGTGTGTGTGGGGGGGGGGGGGGTCGACACGCGCCAGGGTCCGCCACACCCACCATAAAGGCGCGCATGCTGCTGTGATTCC